AAAAACTGCATTTTTATTTAATATAAAGCAAAATTCTTTTATTTTTTTCCAACCAATAATCTCAGAATAATAATTTTTAAACATTAATAATAATTTATTAATTTTTGTTTTTATCAATGTAAAATCTCTGCATATAAATTGTTACAAAATATTACAAAATTATTACGTCCGTAAAAAAAAAGTAACAATGTAAAATTAAAAGCAAAGATAATAAATGTCGGGATAATGAGTGTTGGGATTTGAATTTTCGGGATTAATATTTGTCAGGATTGTGAACGTCGAGTTTGTTTTATAACAGGATACTTATCGTCGGGATTCGTAATAAACCCAACCCATAACCCATACTTCACGGTGTCTATGGCAGAGATCAACGTTTGCAGAGAATGATTATCTTTCAAAGATCTTAGGATGTGAAATTATAGATGGGTAGATTGTCCTGTATTATGCTCACAATCCTGTTATACAAAAAACAAATTGGATGGTGCAATTAAAGGAGTTATTAATATTGAATTTGTTAAAGAAACAACCAATACAATCTTATCCATGGAAAGAGAATAGAAGTGTTCTAGTCTTCTACAATAACTGACACCTTGCTCCAGGGGAAATGATGAAGCCAACTTTTACAATGAATGCATTCTAAAGTTTGCATCTGAATACGTTACTGAAATGTAGTACGAAGACGCTTTGCTGCTACCGGTGAGGGTATGAATAAGTTCAAAGTTGTTGAATGGAGGAAATCTTAAAATTCGTAAATTAAGTAATTCAGCCGATGGTGCTCTAACGAGAAAAAAATCTTCTAATGCATAAGACAAAAAAATTATGATTCAATAATATAATGATATTAAAGATAATAAGTATCGCATACCAATTCAAAGAATAACGAGATTTTTGATTCAATTATGACCCCAAACACGCCCTTCCTAATGACTGTTGCGTAGAGTTATCCTATCGTATAGAATAATTGGAAAAATATTGATAAAATTTATAAAGAATCAATTTTTGCCGTACCAAAGAATATATATAATCCTTATAGCAGAAGCTTCACGTTACAAAGAGTACCGTTCTCCAAAATAAACCTGCGTGGTTTAATCGCTTCAATTAAATACTCTTTGAATTTGATCTAAAGATTAAGATTTATTATTAATCATGAATTTTGATCATAATCTCTCGTTCCCAATATAATTAAATATGTATCACCTTAGCAAAGGATGATGCTCTTATTAAATTTGCGTTTAGATCTTAGAAATACTAAATGTGACGTTGAAGTTAGAATATTCAGTTTAATTTATTTAGCGAAACAGAATGATATTGTTAAATAAAAAAAAACAAATATACTATTAAGATCCTTAAATGTTTGATAAACTATGAGTCGATTCACGAGTTGGAACGCTAAGTCTGATGGTACAAGTAACGACAATCCATATTATAATTTTAATGATCTGAATCAAAATTATTAAATCTATAACTCTAACTTGAAGAGTAAGGAGTTACCTGAATTTCTTTCTCCCATTTAAAACAATTTTTGGTCAATTTTATTATATTTTTGTTATTTCTTCGAACTTGAAAATTACTTTTTCGAAGTTGAGCCTATATCCCAAAAGATTGAACGGAATGGGATGTGAACATTTTGTCAACGCCAAATTAATAAAATTAGCATACAAAAAAACATCAATATAATAATAGCCCAGTGATTTTAGAAAAAAAAATATATTACATCAATCACAGTAGAAATTATGATCTCCCGCCTCCCGGTAATATAGGTCTTGCTTTGGTAATATTATAAATGATAAAAAAAATTAATTAGCAAAAAATTACATTATTAAAACAAATAATAAATGTAATTAAAATAGCTAGTTTACCATGATCATAGAGAGACACTTTTTGACTTAAACTCGATTCTAATAAAAATTTTGATTTGAAAAATACAATTTCAAAAATAAATAAATAAATAAAAATAAAAAATGTGTTAGTTTAAAACAATGATCACAAATTTCGCTACCTGATATATATAAAGTCCACTTATTATCTCGTTGATGCGTTTGAAAATTAAAAATATCCAAAGAAAAAAAAAGAAACCATCGCAAATAAAAGAAAAAAATAATTAATAATAAACAATAATTCAAAATTTGATTAAATAATTTTTGTAAGTAAAATATTATTCATATTCTTTTTTTTTTTGTGATGTAAAAAATAAATTCATAAGTTTCGTTTTCAAAATCACTTGAAAATATAAAAATAAACGAATTTTGTAAAATTAAATAATATAATCGGTTATAATTTACTTTTATTAAAAGAAAAACAAATTATCTAATGAATTAATACAAAGTTGAATTTGTTTTACAGTCTTTACGAACGATCAGAAAATTAACTAAAGATCAAAGAATTATTCAAAAAAAAAAAATAATAATAATAATAAATTAATAAATTAATAAATTAAAAAAAGTCTAATTTCTAATTTAATTTCCTAAGAAAAATAGTAGAATATTAGAATAAGTTATTAAAAAAATTAAGATAAATTACAAAAAAAAAAAAAAAAAAAAAAAAAAAATTTACAAACTTGTCAGCTAAAATCTAAGTTTTCGTAATATCATCACGTAATCGCTAGGAACCGAAATAATCAAAGGTGTAACCGTAAAAAACTTATCAACTTTACTGGAATAGAAACTTAGCAGCTAGAAATGAGTTTTGTAAGAAAGAAAGGAATGATTCTCGTGTATCGTTGATTTCCGCTGATCACGAAATTTATGTGCCATCCCCTTTGTAGGACAAAATAAATTGTTTCAATAATTTAAGGCGGAATTTAAACCTCTACACCACGGAAACTTGCTATTTACACTAGTATCGTAACACGTGATTTTTCTCGTATCATCAGAACATAATCAAAATTTCGATCTTGGTCTTTGATTTTCAAAAGGATGTACTTGATGTACTTTATGTACTTTATGGCTTTATTGGCTTATTAGTCAACTTGTTGATTGACAATTGACATTTTTTATTCAGATAATCATTACAATCATTGTGTCGATGAATATCATAATTCATTAATTCATGATCCTTTAAATTGCTACATGATTAATTTTTTAAATGGACAGCATTCTCATTTACAAGTATTATTAATTAATTTTTATTAATGTATTGTATGTAACATAAACATGCAATATGTTTCTTATTCCCGGACATGGTTGCAAATCAGTCAATCGCACTACACAACAGATAATATAATTTGTGATAGCGAAAGCAGGCATCATGCATTATTGTATAAATATTAACACGGGACGGCGTAATAGCAGATGCTTCCATTTAGATATACCCAAAATGTGAGTAAAGCGTATTACGTTTATAAATTACCGGCAACCTCCTGTAATTCTTGAAGAAGCTTCCATAATAATTAGAGTTTTTCTTAATTATAAGAATAATTGGTAACGAAATTTTATTTAAAACTGTTAATAATACTAATTATCTCAACTATTTGGGAAGTTATCTACACTTGTTATCATTTGTTCTGTTAAATAATATAAAAATAATTTTTTGCATATTTTAACTTCAAGTGAAATTTTTTTTTTTTTTTAATACTTTTAATACGGTTGGTTACTTTTCCTAAAAGATAAAAACCTTAATAAAGAAGAAGACTTATTCCGTGGATTTTTATGCCAAATTGTTTCGTTATTTATTTTATTTATTTATTTATTTATATTTTGTTCATATGATTTTAACATATGAAATTGTTGTGCGACACAAAAATTAATTAATAAGATTATAAATTAAAACGTTCTCCGAATTTCCGCTAAATTATAAATAGATGTTAACAATTCTTGATGGAAAATTGGAAAAATCTTAAATAACAACGTATAAAATGATATTTTTGTTAAAAAAACCTTTGACCGGGGGTACCAATATGGCTGGGGTCAATTTACTGATCGCATGAAATTCCACATTATAACACAGCTATTTGACATAGATGTGTCCCACATCTCGGTAATATTACTCAAGTAAAGCGATCAATTATTTTAAACAAATGAATGGAAAAAATTAAAATTAGTCGATTTGTAGATATCCAAGTCGCTAACCAAATATATAAATATATATTATATTTTAGAAAGTGTGTAATAACTATATATAAGTAAATTATACTGTATATTATATACACTGTATACTAATTATACTATTACTATACTATATACTGTGTATAAAATACTGATCAACAAGATCGGCAATTCAAAAATAAATTAACAATGATAATTTTAATTAACTCGTGTAATTAAATAAATGACAATTATTTCATCCTACATATAATGAAGTATATTTCCTTAAAATAATTAAAAATAATATAATAAAGGTTACTAAATCATGCGTAAATATAGATATATATATATATATTATATATGATATTTTTTATATTTTTAATATTTCAATTAAACTTAATAATTTTAAACCACATTTACACTGACATATATACTAACAATTAAACTACATTTATACTAACAATTAAACTACATTTTTATACTAGTGAAATCTACATATTTAAGGAGCGTGAGAATTATATAACTTTTGAGTCTTTTAAAATATATTTCAAACTCATCAATGTTTCGATAAATTTGTCCATTGTTTTTTTGATACAAAAAAAGGTGTTGATAACCATGTTCTTTTATTTGAAGAAATCGATTTTATAAAACTGTCAATGTATGATTCTACCTCGAAAGTCTTGTCCCCTGTTTCAAAAAATAAAGTATATTTATTGTATTACCAACTGGAAAATATAAAAAAAAATGAGTGGTGTTTGAAGAAATTAGGTATTATCAACAATCAAGCAAGTTAATGTACGATTTGCAGGGTAATACATTAAATTATTACCAAATGCATATATTAATTTGTTATTATGTAACTCAATCAAAAACATTTTACCAATTAATACATTATGTGTAATATTTTGTCGAAATATTAGAAATATATTAGTTGATTTCAAACTTGAAAGAGTAAAAAAACTTTTTTTTTTTTTTTTAAAAAAAAAAAAAAAAAGTTTTGATAATAAATATTTTATTTGAGGCATTCGCATTCAAAGTTTTTTTTTTTTAAAAAAAAAGATCCTTTATTTTTTTCTTTTGATCCTTTAAAGAACGCATTTATTATTATCATAATATATTTACATATTTTTTTTTTTTTATTGGTGCGTCGGTGGCGTTTCCAGAGATAATTGAAAAACTTTTTTGTGTGCCCCTTTTACTTTCTTTTCTGTTAAGACTGTGTCTTACGTTTTTTATGTTATCGAACAATTGAATTTTCTCATTGAATACAAACGAACTTTCCTAAAAAAAAAAAATTATACGTTCTTCGTATATTTTAATCTTTTATATATTTAGATATTTAGAAACGACTTGGTCGGTCCAATGTTCTGTATAGATTTATAATATATATATATACATATATACATATACATATAATACATATTTTTTAAAAATGTTTTCAGGTAGAAAACAATTAAAACAGTTAAATACTACTAATAAAAGAAATAACTCTATAATAAGAAGTCCAATAATTTCTCCAATACCTCCAAGTGATAATGTGGCAAAACTTAACACTAGTTTTGAGGATATAGTTCATTCTCCTCCTCCTCCTCCTTATGATGCTAAGTTACAATCAACAACAATAAGGAAATTTCCTTCTTCTTCTTCAACTCCTGAATCTGATCCTGCGACAAAAATTACGAGAACAACAACTACAACTACCGTTACTACTGTTACAAAAACTACAATATCTGCAAAGAATTCACCAGGTCAAGGTCCTCTTTATTTAGATTTTGGTGATTTTAGTCTATCTCCAATTGAACCTAATAATAATAATAACAACAATAATAATATTATTAATAATATTAATGGTGATGACGCAACTCCATCACAAAAGATAACTGGTCCTTTAGTAACTTTTGATAATAATATAAGTGTTAATGATCCTTCATCTATTACAATTGTATCTTCAAAAACTTCTACTGATCCTGTAAAAGTTCAACAAGTCGAAGAAATTCCTCCTGCTTCAATAATTTCTCCTAATCCTCCTAATCCAACAAATTCGACGACGAAGATGACAAAATCAACTACTACTACTACTACTACTAATGATTCACAACGTATTTATCCTTCATTAAGACCAAAATTAAAAGGTTATCAAAAAGTTCCACATCCTCAAAATTCTGATCCTAATTCTAGAAAACAAAATCATTATCTTAAACGTATTGAATCGGCTCCAGTTATGCCAAATTTATCTGATGTATTTGATGATCCATTAATATCTACAAAGTCTTTGTCTAATTTAAATAATTCGGATACAAAAAATACTGTTACATTGGATAAATCAAGTAGTGAAACTCCTAAACAATATCTTGAAAGAATGCAAAATACTTTATCAAAATCAAAACTTGCGACAATGTTAGCAAAAAAGTACGTTTTAATTGATTTTTATTATTATTTTTTTAAGAAATTTTAAAATTTTAATTCAAACTAAATATTATTCAAATTAAATATCATTTTTAATAATAGATCGGATTCTTTTCATAAAGCTGTTCTTAAAGAATATATGAATGCTTTTGATTTTGAAAAAGATCCAATCGATATAGCATTACGGTAAGTTATAATATATATATGTGTGTGCACGTGATGTAATATATAATATTAAATTTTTAACTTCATTTTTTTTAGGAAATTTTTAATGGAATGTCATCTTCCAAAAGAAACGCAACAAATTGATCGTGTTATGGAAGCTTTTGCTAAAAGATATCATGATTCTAATCCTGATTTATTTTCTACTTCAGGTAACATAAAATTTCTATGTTGAATTTGTTAATATTTAAAAGTATTAAAGTATTAACAATTTAAACATTTTTTTTTATGTGCAGATACTCCATACGTTCTCGCATTTTCATTACTAATGCTTCATACTGATGCGTTCAATAAGAATGTTAAACGAAAAATGTCAAAGGAGGATTTTGTAAAAAATACACGCATTGATGGCGTACCTCCTGAAATTTTAGAGGTGATTTTTTTTTAAAGGGACGAAAATGATTTTCCTTAATAATTTTTTGCTAAATATGAAATAATTCTTTTTTTTTGACAGATTCTTTTTGATAATATAACTTTTACGCAATTCATATACGCTGATGATGACGTTGACGTAAATGGTCAAACTATACTTGAGTCACAAACAGATCATAAGCAGTCAAGGATATTTAATTCTTCTAAAGAAAAGCGAAAATCATTACGAACGAAAAATGACCCTTACACGGTTATTAATACCGTAAGCAGTCTTTTTTTATATGTATATTTATCAAAAAAAAAAAATCATTTTAAAATTTTTTTTTTTTTTTTTAGAAAATTCCAACCGAATTTAAACCAGCTATCAGACATTTGGTTCCAGTAGAAAATCCTTATTCTTACATGGGAACTCTTCCGTCATTGGATATAGTAAATTTGCACCGGGCATTTGCTAGTGCACATACCATCAAGGTTACAGGTGTTCAAACTAGGCGTAACGGTGAAACTTTTAATCCCACAAATACTTCAATGCAACCTTTAGATGAAGAGGATGGAACATTTATACTTAAAATCACTAAAGGTGGTAAATTGGCTAGGAAAGTGGACATGGTTGAAGGTAAAAAGAAGGGTGGACTTGTAAGAGGTTGGAAACAATATGGTGTAATATTAAGTGGAAGTCAGTTAATGTTTTTTAAAGATGAGGCTTGGTTTAATTCTCAAATGGCGGAAATATACGGTCCTGAGGTATATTAATCATTTAACTCTTTAATTCTTTTTACCAAAATTAACAATCAAAGTTAAATAATTTTCCTTGTATATTTATTATTAGAAATCGAAAAAGCCTCCAACATTAAGACCCGATGTTATTCTGATGACTGCGGAATCAGTTGCTATATATGATAAGACATACAATAAACATCCATATGTTTTTCGACTTGTGTGCCCTAAAGGTCATCAATATCTTTTTCAAGCGGAAAATGAAGATGAAATGAACGATTGGATTACAAAAATTAACTATGCTGCAACTTTTAAGAGTATCGGTTTGAAAATGAGACATATTAATGTTCAATCAAGAAAAGAAAAAAAAAGTCCACGAAATTTCTTTTTTAATAATAAAATTGGTCTTAAAGATGATTGTAATCCAAATGATGCAAATGGAAGAGCAAACGTATTAAGGGTACGTATTTTTTCTTTAAAAATAAATTAATATTTCAAGTAAAAATAATATATAATATTTTTTTTTTATAATTATGTAGGCTAAACTTGATGAGCTTCAACATAAGATAACGGCGTTAACATCACAACTTCAAGCAGATGTTCGTTTCAGGAATAATTTATTCCTTATGATACCTTATAAGAATACAACACGAGACCGTATCATACAACTTGCCGTATTAGTAGCCCAAAGGCTTAAACAAACTTGCCTTGATCTTAGTCGGCTGGTTTGTTATCATGAAATCTTGGAAAAAGATTTATGTGGCACTGTTATGGATGATGGTAATTATTGGCAAAACAGAAAAACCATGTATAGGCTCGGTGAGAGCTCTATGGAACCTGAACCATTTGGTAAAGATATATTAGAAGCAACTTTGAAAGTTATGGAGAAAACTGATCCTATGGCTGATAATAACAATAATAATAATAACAATAATAATAAAAAAGAGAAACATTCTACCATGACCTTAGTACCTATGTCATCAAATTCATCATTATCCACAATGACCACAAGTTCAACGGTCACGGATTCCAGTCATACAACACCTCCGAGATCACCAGATAATGAAAGAACCTTCAGCATTTTATCGGGAGGTGAATTGGAATTCAAATCTTTTGAAGAAGATAGTTTGTTTAAAGAATTTAAAGATGATTCATCTAGTATTATCAGTCTCGAATTCGAGGATGCTCAAGAAAATTTTGATGAATTTGATATTGAAGCATATGAAGAAGAATATGAGAAATTACGAGCTAGTGGTATATTAAATTATGAACATACCGAAATTTATTATGATAATGATGATGATGACGATGACGATGATGTATTTGTAGATGCTGAAGACTGGTATTCAGAGTAAAAAAAAGTAGAAAAAAAGTAGTTTTATATATTGTATTTAAGATGTATTTAAGTTGTATTTTGAAAATTTTCTAGATATTATTTTTTTTTTTTTTTTTTTTCTTATCTGTTATTGTTATCATTTATATTTTTTATTATTATTCTCTCCACTCAATTCTCAAACCCATTCATTTCTTTATATATCATTTTCATTATCCTTTCATTAATATCTTCTTTTTTTTTATTATTATTATTATTATCTCAAGTATAATTTTTACATACAGAATCTTTGTACCATTTAATTAATTTTTTTTTTCCAACATTCCCCCCTTCTTTGTTTCTTTCAAAGTCTCTTTTTTTTCATCATATTTTTATTATTGTACAATTTCACATTTTCATGTCATTTATTTAAAAAAATCAAAAAAGAAAAAAAAGAAAAATTTTTTGAAAAGAACATTAATGACTTTTGACTCTTGAATATTTGTTTTTTTTCATTGTCTTTTAAATTACAGTAGAATTTTTAATTATGAATTATTTACATCATGGGCTACTGTAACTCGATATAACAAATGATTTACCTTAAAACTAGACGAAAAAGATTAATGTTTACAATTTATACTAATTAACGATATGGGGAACAACTACCTGATGATACAGAAGACGCGTTAGTAAATGAAGTAGTAGAATTAAATCTAAAGAAAAAAATATCATTCGGACTAAATTAGTGGACATATAACAAATGATTATGAGTAAATAATTAGTCAAAAAAAGGATAGAAATTGAAAATTCAGAAAAACTAATGGAAATAGACAACGAACCTAAACACCAATATAAAGTTGGATCGTATCATATATGTATATATATATTTTTTTTAAACGTATAAATAGATCACTTTTATTTTGTATTCTTGAATTATATCCGTAATCAGTCCAATAATTTTTCATATCTTTTTCGCGACGAGTACATTCTAGGCTTTCTCCTTATCATCCTATTGTAATAACGTTTTAAATTAATAAATATGTAAACCTAAAAGGAATTTATTCGCAATATATAAATGATATATACTCACGAAATTTTTCTGTATTTTTCTTTTTTTATTTTCGATTTTCCTTTTCTGGTTCTTTGCTTGGTTCTTCGTATACGTTTTTTAAAATTTCCGGACTTTTCCATAGTTCGTTCACGTGTTTTGAATCAGCCTATTGAAATAATTGAATATTAGTATCATGTTGATATAATAAAAAAAAGTATTAGTTCAATATGATCAGTGAGTGAAGAGGAAATTTATTGACTTAAGGAAGATACATAACCGAATTCTCATTCAGATTTAGTTGACCTTTACAATAAATTTCACTTTCCAACTCATAATCACATGACTAAAATGGTTTCCTGCTTGGCTGCTTAAATCCGATTGAAAAACCTCACTAAGGCGCAGTCAGTGAGGGAGGAATAAACAGGACATCAGGTAATGAGAAGTACTTCAATTTTCAGACAAAAAAGGGCTTCCTTATTTTTACTGTTTATCCAATTCAAAAACCAACCTCACTAAGGCGCAGTCAGCAAGGGAGGAATAAACAGGACATCAGGTAATGAGAAGTACTTCAATTTTCAGACAAAAAAGGGCTTCCTTATTTTTACTGTTTATCCAATTCAAAAACCTCACTAAGGCGCAGTCAGCAAGGGAGGAATAAACAGGACATAAGGACATTTGAGAAAGTAACCCATACCATTCAAGTAGAGCTTAGATCCGGATTATCCGTTGATATTCACTGAATATGTCCGTTCAAAGATTATAAATCCGGATATCCGGATATCAATTCTAAATATTAATCCGGATGGTAAAATCCGGATATTCATAGGATATTCATTGAGTTATTTTTAAATTTTATTCGTATCCTGATTATGGCCACCAGATTCTAAAAAGCTGAATTATTGTTGTTGTTTCGTCATCTATATTTTGACATTTATCAAAATCTAGGTAATTCTCAATATTACTATCTACTGTACTTCTATTATATTACAGTAGACATCCTATTTCTTTAAGCTAGTATTTTTTTTTTAAAAAAATAACTCTAGACTACTTATTCAGATGGGAACGTTAATTAAACTAATCTCTCCAAAAAAATACATATGGGATTAATATTAAGTAATATTCCATTGTTAAAATTTTATTACATCATGTTTACATTATATTTACATCATATTTACATTATATCCTAAGATATCCGGATTATATTCAGTGAATATCCTATTTTCTTAAGCAAAATCCGGATATCCTATCTAAAAGTGAACGGATATATCCGTAATCCTAGGATATTCACTGAATAACCCATTAGGATCATTCACCGGATCTAAGCTCTACATTCAAGAAAAATGGTTTCCTGCTCGGCTGCTTAAATCCGATTGAAAAACCTCACTAAGGCGCAGTCAGAGAGGGAGGTAAAAAGCAGGACGTCAGGTAATGAGAAGTACTAGCTCATACGATCCAAATTTAAAAACCTCACTAAGGCGTAGTCAGAGAGGAAGGAAAAAGAACGCAACATCCAGGAACAAGAAAGTAACCATACCATTATTAGCCAGAGTTTATGGAAGCAAAGTACACTCACTTTTTTATTTTTTAATAAGTTTCTTGCTTTTTTAGACTTCTTCGAGTCAACATTGTTTATTAACATGTTAGTTAATAAAAATGTCCAGTGCCCTTTGGTGGGTTGATGAAATTTTACATTATTGATGGCCCAGCTGTCGTAGTCGATTAATGACCATTTATCTACGTCTTGTACATTAAAGTAAATTTTATACTTTTCGTCCATATTAAAGTCAGAAAATTTCAGTCTTTAAACGAATGAATGTATTTATCAAAAATATGTGGATAAAAAAAGAATTATTATTAAAACAACACTATTAGAACCCAAATAAAAGTTTAATAAATCTACGTAAAGTTGTTGATATAAAGTTTCTGATATGGACGAGAGATTTATAGGAAATTTGTTGTGGGAAAAGATATTTTTTTTACCGATATTTATGATATTTATATGAATTTTATTGTGGGAATTCTTATATTTACTCAAAAGAAACCAGTTATTTTTTTTGTAATGTGGAATGACCAAATAGTTTAAAAAATTTTCCACGCCACTTTTGAAAAATTATGTAATTGCTTGCTCCAATGTATTAGGAATAATTAATCATCGGATCAAAAAAAATTTTTTATATGGAAACAACTGATTAAATCACTTTTATTACTATATATAAGGAGAAAATTTTACGCGATATTAAAGAATAAGGACATTTATTAAATCTGCCTAATGAAAATGCGTACTGATTAAACTACTTTTGCTTATCAAATTTGTTTATCATTGGTGGAACTACAGTATTAGTGTTATGATAATCGTAAAAACTGATAATCATAGTTTTGACGAAAAAAACTACATCGCGTCAATAAAATTAATCCCGGATGTCATTATCATATATACGTCACGCATGTTAAATAACGAAATTAAACTCAACCCTGCTTTTTTCTTTTTTCTATCAATAAAGTATCAATCTAATATACATTAATCAGAATTTGTTAATAAAAAAAATGGTGCGATACAGAGCACAACAGTCAACAGTATTCTTAAGGGTCATCCGATTAAAAAAAGTAATTTAAATATAATATAATTAAAAATAAGAGCATTATTGGCTTAATGACAAGATATAAGTTTCAACATCTTGAATTATGTGACCTGTAACAGTTCTTGTATATTTTTGCAAAAAAAAAAAAAAATAAGTAAAACATTAGGAGAAAACAAAAATATTTATTATAATATTATTTTTTAAGTTGGTTTACTTCATTATTTCCAATTCTTCATTTTTATGTGAAATTTCATATTTTTGATTAAAAAAAGATAAGAAAAAGTTTTCGTCTTCCACTTTAATTAAAAATTTTTGGAAAAATTGTTCAATAAAGCTTTTCATTATAACAAATTTCACTTTTAAAAATTACTAAAAATTATTGGCAAAATTTTCAAATTTTCTTTATATATTTTTTTTTTTTTAAAAAAAAATGCCAGTATTTTGATCAATAATTAACCCTTGTTTTTTCAATTCACGATTATAATTTTTTAAAAAAATTGAATTTATGGTAAAATTGCAGCCAAATTTGACCTGCAATTGCTTAATGTTTAAAAGGATAATTGGAAGACTTTTGAATTTTAAGTTACTATGATAGTATATCCGTTATTAAAATATCGAAAAACTGATGTTCAATATAAATGAGGGATATTAATTGCTACCACCTTTTTAAATATTTTAAATATTTATTTTAATTTCTCTTCTGATTAACCAATCATTATGATTATGAAGGAAATTATATTTCAAATCATAAGCAGAACATCTGATATACTGTATGCGCTGTAAATGTTTCACATATTGATAAAAAACAATATATACTAATTTGTATATTACATTGTTTTTTAATATCATATCATAGTAAAACCAATTCTTCGACTAGTGACGCTAAATTGATCATAGATTTCTATTACTAATTTGAACAGTGTAACGTTGACCATAATCATCGACTTAAAATTTCAATGATCAACGATCAGCCAGATTTTTTTTTTTAATCGCATTCTTATTTTTGTATAACTGCATCATGTCATCTTCAAAAATATATTTAGAATTTACTAGTATAGGATGTAATAAATTACCACAAATAGCATCATGGGGATATGATGGTTTATTAGCTTTTGGAGCAAACAATTATGTTGCTTTATATTATCCAGAGGTAAAAATTAAGAGTAATTTTTAATTTATGATAATAAATCATAATTTTGAATAAAAATTTTTTAGGACCCAGAATCTAAGGGTATTATTGCAACATTATCGGGACATAAAGATAAAGTTAATTGTGTAGAATTTATAAATAGAGGTAATAATTATCTACGTCTTTATATGATGGGTAGTATATATTGATAAAATTGACATTAATCTTTTTCATTTTCTTTAAAAGGAGATGAAATAAATCAAACGAATATTGCAATAATTTCTGGATCAGCTGATAAAACTGCTAGAATATGGAAAAAGAATAAATCTAACAAAGTAATTCATTTTTACATTGTATATTACAATTATCAAATTTAATTGTTTTGTAAAAAAAAAAAATAATTTTTTGTTTAGTGGGTTAATTCCGCAATATTAGAATCACATAATGGATCAATTAATACGTTAGGAGTTGTCAGATCAAGAAATATTATCGTGGAAAAAGATTTATTCGCTACAGGATCTTCTGATGGTGTCATCAAGATTTGGGAAAGATGTGAACTAGATGATACCAAAGGTATCGTGTTTTTTGTTGGGTTTAATACGAATGAAATTTTTTATTTATTTATTTATTTATTTTTACTTTTTTTTTAGATTCAGTTGAATGTATTCAAACAATTAATCTTGGATCAAAATATCCGATAGATTTAGCAATTTCTCATTTACCAGAATCTAAAGGTAATGTTTTATTTAGACTAAACTTTAAGGGAAATTTGTGATTTTTGACAGCTAAAATATTTATAGTGGTGGAACCTCTTCTTTTGTAGTTCCAATATTAGCTTGTGGAAGTACGGATAAAAGGTTATTATTATTTGTACAAAATAATGGCCAAGTAAGAATATTAAGCAAGTTTTTTCTTAGGACTATAACATTTTTTACTTATTAATTAGATGAATTGAAAATTGTAGTTCATTGAGTCACTATCGTTACAAGGACATGAAAATTGGATTAGATCTTTATCATTTGCAACTTATACAACGCCAATATCACCACAAAACTTATCATCAAATGACATTAAAAATGAATATAAATTACAAGAAGGTGATTTATTATTAGCAAGTGGATCACAAGATAAATATATTAGAATTTGGAAAATTAGCCTTGTTAAGAATGATCAAGAAGAAATTGATAAAGAGAAAGGAAATGAGAATGGAAATGAAAAGAAATCCTTGATTAAAGATTTACTGGCTAACGTTTTGGATGATGGAACATTGTAAGTACGTTGAACTCTTAACATTTGTTTAATAGTAGTAATAGTAAAAAATTTTTTTTTTTGATTTAGCTCTGGAAATAAAGTGCAATTAAGTACGAAAGCTCATATTATTGATGTCGAAGTAGCTAAAGATGGAGAATCATGTGTCAAGTAGGTAATAAATTTGATTGCAAAAATCTTTTTTTATGTTATAATATTTAAAATTGCTTTTTTTTTGTAGTAAGCGATATAGTATTATGTTTGAAGCGTTGCTTATGGGGCATGATGATTGGATTTATAGTGTATGTTGGCAACCACCATGTTTAATTAAAGGTTTGGAATATTTTTTTTTTTTTTAAAAAAATTCTTTATCGAAGATGTTGAAAAATTTTATTATTAATTCGATCTTTTTTAGATTCTGAAGGAAATTTAAAGTATCATCAGCCAATGACCATACTTACTTCATCATCAGATAAATCCATGATGATATGGAAACCTGAACCTGATACGGGCGTTTGGGTTAATTTGGTATATAAAATATACAAATTTTGTGAATTAAATTTTACATATTTGAAAAAACATTAACCTTTTTTTTTTTTATTTGATGAAGACAAGAGTTGGTGAAATTGGCGGATATACACTTGGATTTCTTGGAGGATTATTTAATAAGAAGGGAAATTATATTATTAGTCATGGACATACCGGAGCTTTTCACTTGTGGAAAAATATTAGTCAAGATGACAACGATAGTGAAGGTAAGATTAAAGTTGTAATTTGCAGATTTTTTTTTTTATTTTAATATATAATAAAACTTCTTTCTTAGATTGGCAGCCGCAAGTCTCAATAAGCGGGCATTTTAATTCCGTCAAGGATATTTCTTGGGACAGAGGCTTTAATTATCTTACATCAGTGAGGTAAAGTCTCTTAATATATACTTGTAAAATACCGATTTGTTTTTTCTAATTTAAAAACCTTGATCTTTTAAAGTCTTGATCAAACAGCTAGAATATTTGCTCCATGGTGTCGAAATATTGACAATGATAAATTAGCAGTGACTTGGCATGAAATCTCAAGACCACAAATCCATGGTTACGATATAAATTGTTTTAGTTTTGTTAATAAATGGAGATATGTTAGTGGATCTGATGAAAAAGTATGTCTAAATATATGTATTTGAATTAATTTTAATTTTATATATTATGAAATCAACTAAATATATCGTAAATATTTTATTAGGTGTTAAGAGTTTTTGATGCACCAAAAACATTTGTTCAATCTTTGTCAAAATTATTGAATAATCCAGGAATTCTGGAAGAATTGGTAAGTTGAATTTATAATTTTTTTACAAGATCATTACTCGGGTAAATTTACTTGGTCACGTGATATTAGTACTCATAAGATCTTTTTCAATTTGGAATAATTAATTAATTAGGAATCAAGACCATTAGGAGCAAATTTACCAGCATTAGGATTATCAAATAAAGCAGTATTTCAAGCAGATATAAAAAATTTTGAAGAAGCTGCTCAAGAAGAAGAATTTTTAAGTAGACAATCTTATTCTCATTCGAGCGCTACACCTAATAGTTTACTACAGACTTTAGATAAACCACCTTTTGAAGAACATTTATTACAACATACTCTTTGGCCTGAAATTGACAAATTGTAAGTAAAAATTTTTATTCCTGAAGATCAGTGCTCGTAGTTGCTTAATTGAGGATTTTAATTACTGAATATTTATATTAAAGGTACGGACATGGATTTGAATTAATTAGTGTTGGAGCTAGTAATGATGGAAAATACATTGCAAGCGCATGTAAGGTTTAGTATCACGTTTTAAAGTTCTTGAAATTTGTTCCCTGCTTTTTTTTTGTATTTTAAATATTTTTTTTTTTATAAATTAATTTAGGCAACAATAGCAGAACATGCAGTAATTCGATTATATGATACATCAACTTGGAAAGAATTGCCAAATCCATTACAATCACACACATTAACAGTAACACAAATCAAATTTTCACATAATGATAAATATTTATTATCAGTATCTAGAGATAGAATTTGGTCGATATTTGAAAAATGTGAAGGTATATATTTTATTATTTAATAAATTATTTTCAATATAATTTTGAGATATATACTATATATAAGTATTTTTTATATAGGTACGATACCTTATAAATTTATTACAAAAAACAAAGCACATTCTCGTATTATTTGGGATTGTTCTTGGAGTCATGATGATAAATTATTTGCAACTGGATCTAGGGATAAGACAGTATGTTAATTTTAAAAACCTTTTACAAAATTTTCTAAAATTACAACTATATTTAACATATTTATGTTTGTAGGTAAAAATTTGGACGCAAATTAAATCTCAGGAACAAACCCAATGGGATTGTAAATCTACTATAAAGTTTCAAGAAGCTGTTACAGCAATTGACTTTGCTCCTATATTTATTAATCAAAGGTAAAAATTCCTTTTTATAAAATAGTTTTAATAGTAGTTAAATCTTAAAGAAAAAAAAATTTTTTTCTTTTTTAGATATTTATTAGCTATTGGATTAGAAAATGGGAAAATATTTATTTATCAATCTGAAGATGAGAATCAAATAGAAAAATGGAATGAATTTATTGAAGTTGATAAAAAGTAAGTAAAATAAAATAAAATAATAATAATATATTTTAAAATTTTGGTCGTTATTAAAATATTTTTTTTTTTCTTTTAGCGAATGTCACGTTTCAAGTGTTAATAAATTAATGTGGAGAAATAAGAATATTCAAAAATTTATGAATAATGAAAATGTTAAATTACAATTGGCTAGTTGTGGAAATGATTACTGTGTTAGATTATTAAATCTTGTGATATAATAAATAATACTTGACTTTTTTATTTTCCAGATTCATTTCAGTATTATTTCAAAAAAATACAAAAAAAAAACATACAATTTAAAAAAAATATATATTATATACATATCTTTATTTCTTTGCTATCTTTGGCGTATTTACATTAGCATAAAATTAATCAGTTAAATAAATTTTGACCCGTTGAATTGCTATACCCTCATTCCTGTTTGCTTCAGCATATCTCCTCTCCATCTCATCTCTTATGATCGGTGAAGTTAGGATGAACCTTTCGCTCATTATGTTGGATAAAGCTGAAGTTCCACTCGAATGAGATAATGGAAAATCTTGAATCGTAGAAATGGTTCTATGATATCAATATTCTTCTCACAATCGGGAAATAGACATGTATTCGGCATGATAAGTAGAAGCTTTTTTAAATACATATCCGGTGAAAGGTATGGCTACAGTTGAGCATAGTGATCGCTTTAGGAGGAAGCGTTAAATTTCATTATTACATTTTGAACATTGGTCTATCTCTGGAAATTCCTTTATCTCCAATGATACCGTCCTCAAGATTTTTCAAGATATTATAAGCAAGGTTCCTACGATTAACAAGAGACGATTTGTAAGATTCTGGAGTTTTGCTTTTTTCTCTCGGCATCTTGACTGATTCTGATCTCGACATACTGGATCCTTTCTCTTGGAACAGAATAAAGCTGAAGGAGGAATAATAGTAAGCTTTTCTCATCTTGGAAAAGGGGATTAAAAAAAAAAAAAGATACTGACCTGTTTTTATAGTGCAGGTAAATATCCAAGAAAAAGCGATTCCTGGATCTTTACTAGCAATTTCGCACTAAATTTCATGTTAGTCCCTCTTGCTAATCAGGCGATTAGTCATGCACATCATCAAAATCCCCATCATGCGAAATATGATTGCAGAAAAAAAATAACCATATCAAATATTGTCTTATAAATATGATAATAGCGTGATCAGAGACATGACGCACAAAAAATAAATGCAAATCGAGTCTTAGAAAGAAGATAATGTGAATATATATATGTAATCCACAGCCCTTATTCCTTCAGCAGGAATTTTTTCGACATCGTAATGTGCATTTCAAGTGATCGATCTCACATGACTATCCTTCTATCATATCGACTCGATTTTTATGCAATCTATTTTCGACAGCTTGCTTAATCAAACATCCAATCCAATGCTGTTGCTTATAGTCAAAGAGGCTTTAGAACGCTAAATAAACTTAGAATATTATTTTAGCTATGGAAAAAACTTACTAATCGTTTCTGATCTTAGTGCTGTGATGGAGATTACGAACTTTGAAGGTTCTAGGATTAATAGATGATAAAGAAACCGAGATAGTTGATGGAGATGACAGATTCGAGGCAGATGAAGAAGATGATGACGATGATGACGATGATGATTGAGATGAATTCGAGACGAACGGATGAGTTATTTAACCTGTAATGAAGAAGATGCATGGAATAAATTTCAAGCCCGGCATCGTAATATTGTGCTTAGAAACTCACCAGGCACCTTCCAAATATTTCCGAGTAGCAAAATGGATTATTTGACGCATTATCTAGATCTGATAATTTGGAGAAAACAATGCATTAACCGACCCTGTGAAAGGCTGGAATCTTCAAGAATATTTAGTGGATCGTATAGATTATTTTTTTTTTCACGCCTAGCATTCTCAAAGCAGTATCTATCCTACTCGATTCTTCGGCACTCTTTCATATCCAACAGAATATTATTTCGTTTAAGGTAAATATGCTATGAAATAGTAAAGTAATATATTAGGTTAAAACAGTTCTGGAATATCTCGCACCTGTCCGCCGCAGGACCTAACCTGTTCGCACGAACAGGCTTAGGACAAGGTGCAAATGCAGTTGCCCGCCGCAGGACTTAACCCATCGCCGCAGGAAAATGGGCTTAGGACAAGCTGCTAAAACTCGCACGAGTGTTCGTTTTCTAAAATATACTTATCTTGTCATCCTGATCGCCCATAAGTAAATTTAATAACTCCTTTTATACTTGGATGTAATAAATATTCTAGTTTATTAAAAAAACACGTCGATTGATAGTTGATAATGATCCGCGATTGTGATAAAAATAGTTTACTATTTTTAGCATGTGGTTGTTGGGCTATCATTGTCGATCTTCGTCGCGTTTAATCGCGTAGGTAGTTTATGTTCTCACTTCTCACGGTTGTTTTAAATAAATAAAAATCATAATTATAGTAAAGCAATCGAGCGATTCAATGAAAGGTTACATAGATCCTTATTTTTATACCACTCCTTCCGAACAATGGAACCTTAGCACTTTTATTACAACATATAATGGATCGAGTTTAGTTAAAGAGAAGATTCTATATTTTTATAAGGAAGGCTTACTAAATATATGTCAATCATCTGACTTTAGCTATGAGCAGAAAGAAACGGCGGAAAACTTAATTGATTCTTATAGAGCGGATAAGAAGGAATGTGCATACTTGTTTGATGTTCCCAAAAGTAAATCGGTTAAAACGGCTATTCTTCAGAACAGGGTAAGTATCTTGCATTATTTAAACGAAATTTTTTCATTGTTATTATAGCTAAATTATGTATAGTTTGAACTGCTAATCGAATCTGCAAAATCTGCGAACGCGACTCTTAATGCAACATTCATCGAAGCTGATGCATCTGTAAGTGAATACCAATCCTCAGATCAACAAGTGAGATCAACAAACTATGAGTCGAACCCTTTCAATACAGGATTCTCACAGAAACGTAAATACGCTTTTGATACCGAAGAGGAGGAAGATTCCGGGGAAGAGTATAACGCAGACAAAACAATCGTTGGCGGAAGAAATACCACTTGGGTGGTAGATGGAATTAACATTCGCCAAAAGCTTACAATATATCAGGAAGAAAAAAATCTTACAAAATCCAAACCAGAATATTACGATGTGATCTTTTTTAATAATAAAAATCAAGACGGATTTTTAGGTACATTGCCGGAAAGCACTATTATAAAGATGAATAAGGAAATTATGGAAGAAATAAAAGGTGCAGAAGAAGAAGACATTAGATCATTATTAAGTAAAATTATTGATCGCGACATCCACATAACGAAAGAAAATCTTAAAGAACAACAAAACCATAATGACTCTTTTGAAAAAGAGTTTGCACTATATTTTATTAATCACATGTGGGTCTATATTTTTCTTGAGAATCGGTAATCAGGTAACTAACTCATTGTTTATACAGGATCGAACTCATAGATAAAAATAATGTACTTCTGGAAGATTTATCCGAGGGAACATTCATTACAATGGTTTTGGCACCAATATTGAACAAAATTTTCATTAAAAATAAGAAAGATTGGTATGTCAAGTATGGGGAGACTTGTCTTAGGGCAAGTGCGGATGATCAAAATTCTCAAAAAAGGGATGAAGAGCGCCGATCCCCTGGAAGGAAAATCGATGCTATTGTTATAATTAAAGAAGAGAAAGAAGAATTTTCGGTCACAGAAATTAGTGGACCCCCAGCTCAGAAAGATTGGTCACATTTCACGGGGGATCGAATGAAAATAGTCAAGATGCTGAAGACGCTCATGAATAGATATGCAATGCTTTGTCCAAACTCGGACATCAGAATCGTGAAATTGTATGGAATGCAATTTTACTGTAAGTCAATAAATGGTTTATGTTATCATGTTATTGTCACATATTATTAACCCTAGTTTTCAGTATATCAGCTTATTGTCTATGAGTTTCAACTTAAATACTCCGAAATTTACACTGTACGCGAGGTATTAAAATTTCCTCTACCACGAACATGGAAAGACATGAAGAAAGCTCATGAAACTGTAATTGGTTTCTTGAATTATGAGGTTTGTATATATGGATTGCAGAGAAAATTAGAGTTTAAATATAAACTAATAATTTATAAATCAGCAATTATTATTCAGGAGTTCACAAAAAATAAAAGATTTTCTATGGATTGAAGGCGAAAATGATGAAACTTCTCAGTCTATGACAACTAGAATGGTTTATTCCCCTAAAGGTCCTAAACTTGCCAAGAAAGCGCGAGATATTTTTAATAAGTTATAATGTAATAAATAAATATATTAATAAATTTTTATATATTATTATAATACATATAATTGTCCTTATTTCAATAAGTAAATAATTAAGTAATTAAGGAATATCATTAAGGTATCCTTAACTGTTGATGCAAACTTTGGATCAAGTGGATAAAAATTATTCGCAATCTTTGTAACAAAAAATTGATGTAATAATAATAAAATGGGAATTATTCAATGTTATGTTGCGTAAAGACTGTTGCAGAGAAACGAACTACACTTCCGCTTTATTAATTCAGATGTAAAAAATAAATACAAGTGCGGGGCTTTATCCGTGATACATAACGAATTTTCAATACTAATATACACGAGCCCAATATCTCTATTTTTTCGAACGATACCCCTCTATCTTAGACCTCTTCCTATCGGGTTCTTCGTCCGAACATGCCCTATCCTTTATTAACCCAACGATCGCGCCCAAACCTTATTCACACTATTACGTAACGTTTGATATTCTTCGGAGCCGATTTATAGGGATAGTGGAAGCCATCATCGTCCCGTTTTTCGTTTTCTCCTGATTGTTTCGTACGAACTCTTGAATTGCTTGATATTTTGGACAAAATCTTCGAGGATACTACGCCAGACCTTGTCTTCTGTGATGCAAATAAGTCTCGATGATATATGTTGTTAGTATACTCTCTTAAATAAATTTGCGTGAATAAAATTCACGGAAAAATGCCAAGATAAAAAATTTCATGCCTTCGATTGCGTAATCGAAACCCGGAACTTTCATCACCAATTTTTTCGTGTTCAGGTATCATAGTCAATTCCTTGCTCATGAGGTCTCCGCAATATAAAGGGATGTATGGAATATAGTTGAAACGTATTCATTACGTATAGATTCCAATTTATATACAACCAAAGATCCATAATTCTTCATCCTGAACAAAATATTCTCCACGCAATGCTTAAAATGCTTGTTGATGTCTTGAATTTCATGGGTTTGGTAGTCTTGAGCCGTATTATATTTTTTAACTTCGTCCGCCAAGTTGAGTGTCTCATTTCCAAGTGTAGTAGCAGAAGTGGAGGTAGAGGCGGGAGTACTAGTTTCAGACAGTGCTTTTATATTGATATTAGGCTCAGATAAATAAAACGTGTCACGTTCTGGAGCGAGAAAAAATTTTTGTCTCTGCGCATTTTAGACTTGAGCAAAGATTTGTATAAACTGGGTATGGTTTTTTTCTCATTCTTTCATAAGATCATCGAGCTATGCAGTACTTCAACGGCTCTCTAGAATACCACGACGCATTCGACGCAATAGCTCTTCACCGATCAACATATCGCGAGTTAGAAATGAAGTATAATATTTTCTAGGATCTTCCTTTCTCTCCATTGCACCACGGTAAAATCGCGTATCACTCTCCAAGTCACTGCGGAAGCATTCGCCGGCCCATCTTTTTTTCTCGGCCTCAGTAATTATCAAAAATTTCTCGGATCGATACCATGATCAACGGCATATTGACATCATATTTGGGGAATCGGTCGACGAGATGATGCAGTCTAACTATTTCTAGAGGAATCATTTGAAAAATTAGAGACACGGGTTAAAGGAATAGGTGCTGTTGAAGCACTTCAGCTGAAACCAAAGGATTCGTTTGTGCCTCTGATGCAGCAGTCTGATCATCATCATCGGGAATTCCATATTTGGATTTTCGGTGAAGTGATCTATAATCGTTTGAATATGAAAATAAGTAAATTTAAATAGTATCTGCACTGTATGTTTTGATATAATGAATCTTGTCCACCCCTATTTATCAAATAAATTACCAATTCTTAAATCTTTCTGTGTCTGCTTACATAAAATTTTACGCGAAGATAGTATACTTGTCCCTTTGCTTTTTTCTTCACAGCATTATTTTTGGCCATAAAATCTTTATACAGACTTTTGAATTCTCTATTGGCTTTGATTACATCTACTTTAGCTTCACATGTATCTTTATAAAGATTAATAATATTCCCATTTGGGCAATCATTGTTCGGAGAAATTTCAATCGCATGTTTTTATTCCTCTTCCTTGGATTAGATTATTTCCTGAATCAATCCCTGTTCATTTTTTCGTTCATGGGAACTAGTGGGGCAGATTCTGGGAAACTGAAGATACCTCGGGAGCTGTTTCACGTAAAAGCTTTTTCTCCCTAATCCCTATTCCTCTGCCTAATCTCACCAACCCATTTATGTACCTCATCCAAGGAAGCATCAGTCTTCTTATCCTCCAATGACTTCTCTCCACTCATATCCGCCTTCTCACACTCAGCAACCGTATCCATCCTACCATTCTCTAACTCCTCAATTCTACTCCTGAGCTCTGCATTCTCAGCTTCATGCTTGGTTCTCTCTTCTGCAACTTGCTTTAAAATCTTTTGGCATTCTCTTGCTTAAGTAAGCCAATCTCGAATTCCATCTTTGAAAACACTTTTCATACATTATTATAAGCATTCAAATAAATAAACAAGTGGTTTTGGTCAAACAAAGATCCTAAGAAAAATTTTTATTAATACGCGCAAAAATAAATACAAAAGTTCAGGATGTAGCCCGTGATACATGACGTCTATCTAACGTACAAGGCGAGCGAAACCTATTCGTTAATATATTTTTTCATCCTGATTCTTTTACTATCTGATGAGTCATCAACTTCTATTTTATCCTTTAAAAAAACCTACGATTACCCTATGACCTCTTTCAACCCTTGACGCAGTTTTGTGTCGTCATCTAAATATCCTCAGTAAGGGTGATGTGATAGTCCGGCTTTCATGCAATAAATTGGTACCAGTCCGTGGCTAAAATAGATGAGAGTTAGTAATTTCTCCTAGTATTTAGCTCGTGCAAAAAATCTCACCTGTTGTAACGATCTCATAGAGGTAGTCGAAATCACTCTCGAAAGCTAATACCCAAGACTTCTTGATTCTGCTTTCCTTCGGTGTTGCAAATAAGTTCTTCGTTTAATGAATCTATTATCTTTTTGATCGTCTAATCAATTCGCCTGTTGCTTCATCATCAACGAGATTCTTTTTCTAACAATTTTCTTGACAATAAATATGACAATAAATATGACAGAAAGTAACACTGCCTCGATATTAGAATAACACAAGACCTCATTACTTGATTTCGCTGGACCTATGATTTCCATTTACGTTTAATCTCCGCCATACAGTATTGGAAGTCTTTGTCATCGTCGCCAATTTTTTCAGTCTCTAAATTCAGAAGTTGTATCTCTTCCTAGCTAGCAAGATAAAAGTATAACCTATTTTTGACTTACCTGAACAGTGGAATCTTTTATATGTCATTACTATCGATCCCATTATTGCACAACACCTCATCACTAAAGTCTTTCTGAATTTTGTATAAGCGTCTCAATTTACAATATCGTAACTGTTAAACATTTTATTTGTATTACATTAGAATTATGTTATATGATACATCACATTATTGTTTTGTTGTTTTGTTACATAGTATATTACATTGTTTTTTTCTCATTTTAAATAATCGTGGCATCAATACGTCAATAATAATAACTACATTAATTTGGTACAAAGGTAATAGCACTTAAGAGATATTAATTCTGATAAAATATTTTCTTGATAATTTTGTCGCTTTTTTTTAGAAAGGTTTATATATACTTCTTGACACCTAATTCCTGTATATATCCCTCAAGTTCCAACGAAGGACCTAATCTTAGCCCACATTCCCTAAGATCACTCTTGGTTAATTTCAAAAAAGTGCGTCCGGTGATATTTTTCTCCATGATTTTCGTAAAAAAGCTATCGTCAAGCTTCAGTTCACTTAAATTCTTATCATTTCTCAGAAACTCTACAAGTCTCTCTGTTCCAAACTCCTTAAAATTTTCAATTGAAATAGAAGGTTCTGAAGTAGTAGGTTCATTCAGAATGGTGGGAGGTTCAATTGTTGAAGTAATAGTTTCATCAATTTTATATAAAATTGGGTCTTTGGAACCTGCTTGCCTCGATGCCAGAAAGTTAATCGGTCGACCTTCGACATAAAATTCTCCATCTCGAACTTTGCTAAAGAAAGTTCCCGCATCGTTCTCATTTTCGAGATGGATATGACCGAAGCTAAAAAAAAAATTGATCATTAGTGTGATATTAGGCTACAGAATGATTATGACCAAAAATGGTCTATTAAGAAACTCCAACCAATGAAAAAAATGCTTACTCATTATCTTCCGATTTTAAAACGTGAAATTTTCCAATGTTACAACCTGTTGTCTTGCTTATGTTCCAGATGCATTCGGTTAAGTGTTTTTTGTTAATTCAAAACAGGTTCCCTCCGATAAAGACTGAGTGTTCGGGAGGGTAGAAAAACGTTATTGCTTTCTATAGCGAAGGAAGGTGCATAACAGATTCCTCTTCCAGAATCCGTAGACCTTCATCACCTACACTTCCTTAACCGTTTTATACTTACACATATTAAATCGCAATATGTGAGAACTTAATACTCAAATCAAAAACATTTTTACGATAAAAAAATTCGTTTTTTAAATGAGAAAATGTGTGGAATAACATATAAGAAAAGGAGATATTTATATTCGGGCGCGTCCCATCACGTGATTGTGGAAAGAAACTAAAAAAAAATTCAGTTGTCTAAGCCGTCACCTGGTCACGTGATATGCACAACGCGTTGTCTCCGCGACTTAGTTTTTTTCAAGGTGTCTGATCCCTATTCCTTATTCTTCACTCCTGTAAGCACACAGAGTTGCTATATTCCCACGTAGTGACGTCATCGATACTTCCTGTAATTTTTCCTTAATATTACAACGATGTAAATTACGATATTACAACATAGCAGAGACCCGGATTTATTCCGATATAAAATCGCAAATGTTTATCACGATAACGGAAAAAATTCCGATTTTATTCCAATAAAAAATTACCAATTATAATAAGAAACATTTGATAATTCTAGCCGGATTACATATTAATGCAGGCCAACTTAGGTTGCGCTGTGACACGACAATAATTTTAGCCAAAAACGGTGGAAATGATTAACAATTTACCAAATTCTATCACGATATAGTCAATAAATATGCAATAATGATCGTGTCGGAATAAAATTGTTAAAAATCATAAAAATTCCGTTTTATTCCATAATGCAGCAAAAATTCCGATTTATTCATTTATTATAAAAATGGAATTTTCTTGGGTCTCTGCAACATAGGTGTTAGTGGCATTTGTTCATTATTTTGAACTAAAGATAATTTCCTGTATCTGGATTTTGAGATATTCCATACAATACAAATGATGCATCTTTATCATCTATTAAAATACCTTTTAGTCTAAATATCAACAATAAAAGTGGATTTTAAATATATATATTAATTAAAAAAAATATTTAAATATTTAAAGAAATTTCACACTTCATTGATTAAAGAATCAATAGATTTTTGTAAATTATGTTAAAGCAACTTCTTTATTTGAATCTCTTGCATAATTTACATAATTTACATCCTGCCAATGCTTCACATCATCACATGTAATGGACCATCCTTCCATATTGCTGAATATGCTGTTATAAGGCCATTTTTACCTATCTCTTTAATTTCATTAAACTGATTGTATGAAGCAATATATTATGAATGAATTCACACTTTTCAATGTTACATAATTCAAATTATTTATACAGGGCAATATAAATATGACAATTTTTTTAATTAGATAGATTTATGATATTTTTTTTATTTAGGCTAAAAAATATCCAATATTGTATGGAATATCTCAAAATCCATATACAGGAGATTATATTTTAGTTCTTATATGGACAAGTGGAAATGAAAAATTGGTTCTTGCGTCCCGTTCCTGGTCTTTAGTTAATTAAAATTTTAACTGGATTTTTTTTTTATTCTAATGGATTAATACTAACATAAAAAAAGTATAATTTTTCTTATTAATTGCATTTTATTTGCGGTTATTTCCGCTCTCTTAGTTACCACGACTAACCATTTCTATAATAATAATTTTTTTTTATTTTTCAGTTTTACCGTAAAAACCGAAACTACCTTTTTAGTCTTTTTTATTAATTTTTTTTATCCCCTCTTTTAATATTATTGTTTCTTTCAGTTAACCAAAATTTTTTCTTATACTTTTTTTTTAGGGGGTTTTTTTTTAATCGGAATTTATCAAAATTTTTTANTTAATGCAGGCCAACTTAGGTTGCGCTGTGACACGACAATAATTTTAGCCAAAAACGGTGGAAATGATTAACAATTTACCAAATTCTATCACGATATAGTCAATAAATATGCAATAATGATCGTGTCGGAATAAAATTGTTAAAAATCATAAAAATTCCGTTTTATTCCATAATGCAGCAAAAATTCCGATTTATTCATTTATTATAAAAATGGAATTTTCTTGGGTCTCTGCAACATAGGTGTTAGTGGCATTTGTTCATTATTTTGAACTAAAGATAATTTCCTGTATCTGGATTTTGAGATATTCCATACAATACAAATGATGCATCTTTATCATCTATTAAAATACCTTTTAGTCTAAATATCAACAATAAAAGTGGATTTTAAATATATATATTAATTAAAAAAAATATTTAAATATTTAAAGAAATTTCACACTTCATTGATTAAAGAATCAATAGATTTTTGTAAATTATGTTAAAGCAACTTCTTTATTTGAATCTCTTGCATAATTTACATAATTTACATCCTGCCAATGCTTCACATCATCACATGTAATGGACCATCCTTCCATATTGCTGAATATGCTGTTATAAGGCCATTTTTACCTATCTCTTTAATTTCATTAAACTGATTGTATGAAGCAATATATTATGAATGAATTCACACTTTTCAATGTTACATAATTCAAATTATTTATACAGGGCAATATAAATATGACAATTTTTTTAATTAGATAGATTTATGATATTTTTTTTATTTAGGCTAAAAAATATCCAATATTGTATGGAATATCTCAAAATCCATATACAGGAGATTATATTTTAGTTCTTATATGGACAAGTGGAAATGAAAAATTGGTTCTTGCGTCCCGTTCCTGGTCTTTAGTTAATTAAAATTTTAACTGGATTTTTTTTTTATTCTAATGGATTAATACTAACATAAAAAAAGTATAATTTTTCTTATTAATTGCATTTTATTTGCGGTTATTTCCGCTCTCTTAGTTACCACGACTAACCATTTCTATAATAATAATTTTTTTTTATTTTTCTTTTTTATTTTTATCCCTCAATTTAATTATTATTATTTTTTTTATTCTTTTTTGTTTTGGGTCAAAACTATGATCAGATTAGAACTATGTCCTGCAACTTTTTGATGTTTAGCGAGATTTTAATTCATGTGAAAAAAATTTTTTTTTTTTAATATTAACAAATTTTTTTTTAGTGAGATTGTTTTTAATTATATAGATGCATAACAATATTAATAATTTTGTAATTAAATCTATAATAAATTTTTTGATAAATAAAAACTAAATATAAAAAAGAAATACTTTCATATATTTATTTATTAAAATCACATAATATTATTACTAATACAGAAATTCACATAACTTTACTGTTTGGTGAAAAACCTAAACAATGTAAAAGAAGATTAAAAAACAAAGTCAAGCCCGTTCTAGAAAAAAGCAAAAAACCAAATTTAAATTAGGTATAAATCTTATAGATGGTTATCATATTAATATAGAACGTTATAAATTGGGAAGAATGAATCAAACTTGCATCTATTATGATGAGAAATTTTGGATAAATGAAAGAGATAATAATAGCAGCAAATTCTCTTCATCTTTTGCAACATTGGTTAAGTTAATTTACCACCTTTACTTAAACCAAGTTATTCTAATATAATCATATTATAAATACAATTTACTTGCATTTATACTTTATTATTACTCTCATAATCTAATTATTAATTACAGTGAACTTCTAATTGTAACTAAAAATCTAATATTATATAGTAATACTACTGCTCCCGGTGAGAAGCAACAGGCAACTGCTAGTAAACAAATAAATACTAACTAAAACTTTCCTAACAATTGTAATGATGATAGTCATCTAGTTTATCAAATTTATCAAATTTATCATTTTTTTCTGGCCTTATATATCCTGCGGCATTATACAATTCAACACCTTTAGTTTCATTTGCTTCAGTTCCTATTCCAAGTCGATAACAATGCCCAAGTCGAATTATTGAGTTAGTATCACCTTTTTCAGCTGCTTCTTTATATAATTCAAATGCTTTAACTTCATTCTTCTCAGTACCTATTCCATTTTCATAACAATTTCCAAGACGATTTATTGAATCAAGATCTCCTTTAATAGTAGCTGATTTTTCATATATTTCAAATGCTTTAATCTTATTTTCCTCTGTTCCTATTCCATTGTAATAACATTCCGCAAGATTGTACATTGAATCAATATGACCACGCTCAGCGGCCTGTTTATATAATTCAAATGCTTTGATTTCATTTTTTTCAATTCCCATTCCGCGAAGATAGCAACATCCAAGATCATAGGTTGAAATAATATGACCCTTTCGAGCTGCTTTTTTATAAAGCTCAACTGCTCTACTTTCATTTTCTTCAGTACCTATTCCATTATAGTAACATTCTCCAAGGTTATATATTGAATCAACATGGCCACGCTTAGCGGCCAGTTTATATGATTCAAACGCTTTAACTACATTTTTTTCAGTTCCTATTCCATATTGGTAACAATATCCAAGATTATACATTGAGCTAACATGATTTTTGTCAGATGCTTTTTTATATAATTTAAATGCTTTAATTTCATTTTTCTCAGTTCCTATTCCATAATGATAACAACATCCGAGATTATATATTGAATCAATATGATTATTTTTTGCTTCTCTCTTAAATGATTTAAACGATTGAATCTCAATTTTTTCGGTCTTTATTTCATTTTGATAACAAATTTCTGATTTTCTTCCATCATCGCTATCATCTATTTCATCTATTTGCATGTTTGTCACATTTTTATTTGGCAATTTGACGGTTGGGCAAAGATGTTGAAAAAACTGGATTATTACTGGATTGTTTACAAAAGGAAGGAGAACTTCAGATGATGATAACTTTTTTGTTACTAAAGATTCAAGAGAACTTTGTTCTTTTTCACTCATATGAAAACTATTGTTATCAGTTATTGATATAGTATTTTGCTGTTTCGCATTATTTGGTGCTTTTGAGCACTTCGTGTTGACATGAGCTTGCATTCGTTCAGGAACGCCTCGTTGAAAATCTTTTGAACAGTAATTGCATCGTACATGAGGATGAGAATTGTAATCTTTACTTACTATAGTAAAATGGTTCCAAACTTCTCCTTTCTTTCTCATTTTGTATAGTTACTACTATGTGTAAGGTAACAAATTATCTGTTATATTAAAAACTGAACGTAAAGTAAAAGGTATTTTTTTTTTTTGAGAATCTAAATCTGATGTCAAATGTATTTAACTGGATATATGTAAATTTTTTTTTAACAAAATTCCAAAAATGGGTTAATAATGTTAAAAGTTAATTAACCACTTTGTTATCGGAGTTACCTTTATTGGATATAAAAGTAAAAGTGATGACGATCATTTTGAGGGACCCCACATATTAGCTATATTAAATGCATTAATTTATATTACGTGTAATAGAAATTTAAAAGAATAAAATTATCACACAATACTTATTATTATCACACAATGTCGTTTGATATTTATTCAAATGACGCAATTTATTCAATAAAAGAATAATACACAAATGTGTTTGTCAATATACATATATGTAGAAGTTGAGTAAATCTTTGATTATTAGATGTACATCATTGTGAACGTTGCAATTGTTATTGCATGTGAATTACCGTATTTTCTTTAACCTAAAATAAGCACCTTTTGATAATAACTCGATCAATATTCATTCAAAAAATTATGAAATTTATACCATTGAATTCATCTTATTGAGACGAATCCAATGAACTAAATTTTATTTTTCCACGACCATCAGACCGTAAAATATCATTGATATAATTCTGAGAAATTGAAAATTCAACGAATAAATATTATTTTATTAGATGTACATGTACATCACTGTGCATGTGAATTATGTTCTGAAACGCCAAAACTGAATTATAAATAGATTTACGCCAAATCGCCAATGTGCTTCGATCCGAGTCCGGTTTTATCCGGATAAAATCCGGATAAACCCGATTATCCTCAGTTATATCCGCGGTTTTATCCGATTTTATCCGTTTAAAAGTATTTCGGGAACTAATGATCAGAACTCTATGGTTTCGAAATATTTCAGAATATTATTTCATGTCAAAGGATATTTTGAGAAGACATTGTTTTCAAATATATAACGTATGTAAGCATTTACGTAATGTTGAGTCTTTTGATGTCGATCCTAAATTACTTAATATTTTTATGTTCGATCATATCACAAAAATTATTCGAAACAAATTCTTTTGACATTTAAATGATAAATTTAATAATAAAGTCACTTCATTAGTAAAAGGTTATTATCCGCCTATCCGTCATGATAAACCGGACATAGTATCCACTATCCGCGAATATGAGTTGAGTAAATACATTGTCTTTATTTATTTTTGATATAAATTAAATATTTTCAGGTAGGTAAAGTAGGAATTATTTCCATAGTTGCTATTATGCAGCTAATATATATAAAGTTTACTTATTTATTATTTCCATAATATTACGTGGTTGATTCTATGAAATTTATATAATTAACTTACATTTTCTAAATCTTTGGCACTATTAAATTAAAATTTAGTTTAGGAATTAAAAAAAATATAATAAAGTTTAACTTAAAGAATCCTTTATAAAGTTGGTTTATTATTTATTAAAATTTTATAAAAATGAACATGGGTTTAAATGTGTGTAATAGTTATTTCACGGGGAGTCATGATTTTCACGGCTGCGAAATAACTCTTTTAGACTAACGTACAGTGATGGGAAAGAATGGAAAAGATATAAATAAACTATGAAAACACGTGAGCATGAAAAATATCATCAGAAAAATTACAGACATGAATATATAATCAAAAAAATCACTGGCGACCAATTAGCAAACATGATATAAAATGTCTTATGATTTGATCGATATCGATTTCAACCATTAAAAATGGGCAATAATAATAGAAACGGCATTTTGACAATCATGATTAGTCGAAATGACTAAATTAATTTCTTATCAATACAACCGATAATGTAAGAGAACTCAAGTGACTCCCTGCTATTTTCCTTTTTTAATAATAGAAAGGGTCTTGTATAATTAGCGATGCCGACTTAATAAATGTTAAATTTGTTTTAACATTCATTGTTTTAGTTTTAATAAAATCTGTAATGTTAAAACTTATGTTTAATGTTATGTATATATCACGCAATTGATAACAATACATATTTTCATTATTAAATAATAACAAAATATGGAAAAAATGTCTTCTTGTAATAAGATTAAACTTTCAGTGATGGTAAACTCCACAAAATTTTTCGTATAGAGTTTATTGCAGATCTTAGTGATTTGCAAGTTAAATAATTTCAACGTTAAAAGTCAAAACTCATTGGGTTAATTGAAAGCTAAATTTTATGTGACTAACTTATATTTATTGATAAGTAATACAGTATAATCAAATAAAACCTTAATCTGTAAAAAAGGAACCAGTATAAAACATAGAATATTGAAATTGTATAGATTCTATAAAAAGTAACAAACTTATGTTACGACATTCCTTAATTTCCGTATGTTAGTGATGATTTATTTGCAATCATATTTAGTAAAAAGGATTTTGATTTCACAACTGGTTGCGTTTTACAATTCGGTTTCATAAAATGATATAAGACTCGTAGCACAAAAACTTTCAAACAAAAATTATGTGTATAAAATAATAAAAAGCATTATGAATTTTTTTGACTTTTTTTTTAAGAAAATAGTTTTAAACCAAAAGAAAATTCGAATTGGTTTTGATGACTTTGAGTGACTTTTTGAAGAAAATTAAGTATATAAAAAAATTGAAAAAATGATAAACTTTCTCCTAAATAACTTATATTTTTATATTGGCAATTTATTTAAAAATTAAAAAAAAAATATATGGAATAAAAACATGAAACAAATTGAAAAGAAAAAGTTATTCGTGCAACTAGTTCTGTAAAACATGATATGTATGACAAATAATGTAAAATTTATCAATCATAAAATTTATAAAAGTGTATATTTAAGATTAAATTAAACATTGTATGCTTTAAACCAAAATTGAATTTTTCTATCAAAAAAAATTGAAGAAAAAAAATAAAAATAAAAAAACTAATGGAAAAAAAATATAGTAAATAATATATATTTCACTATTTAAGTAATATTTTCATATTTCCATTAGCTTCTCTCATTTGTTATAAAATTATACTATTTAAGTTCAAACTTGGAAAATAATCTATATCAGCTGTGAATTCATCATCCAAGAAATTGTTATATCGCTCATGACAGTATTACGATGTGACCCTTTAAAAGTTATATATTCTTTGTTTCACTAGTAGGAGCATTTGTAGGAATTCTTGTTGAAATTATAAGCTTTGAAGGATAATTAAAAACACCATCAGCCAAAAAATACTTACTTCATCATCAGATAAATCCATGATGATATAGAGACTGTGGGAATTTAATATGTGATTTTTTGAAGGATTACTTAATAAGAAAGGCAATTATTAGTCATGGACATACCAGGACTTAGACCTGCAACGGGCCGGAAAATTTTATTTTAAGTTCACCCGTTGATTTCCTCAACCCGGAATTTTCTTAATTTCGGCCAAAATTTCAAATTAATTCTGGCCGAAATTTGAGTTTAATTTTAAATATATCCCATGAAGAACAATTTTTTTACATAACGAATTACTTTGCTTGTATAGCACACACGTCTATATTATTACACGTATATTAAGTTTATCCAAATCTAATGCACAAAAATAAATAGTGTATCATTTTATCATAAAAGAGAATGTACTTTTTTTATTTCTTATGAAACAAATTCCTTTTCTCAATTTACAACTTCTTTTGATCTTTATATAGCTTATAGTAATTTTGGAACCTAAGTTAAAATCTGAAAAATCAAAAATGATAATGATAATGAAGATAATGAAGATAATAAAGATCTTTTAATAATAAAGCTATTGGGTAAGAAGCACTTCACTAGGTCAAATCTAAATTTAGGGATTTTTAACAAATTTCTCATTTAATACGTACAGTAAAAGTATTCTGTTATAAAAAAAAACACTTGAATATATATGGAGAATTTTTATTCATATAAATCTGTAAATAAAAAAGTGATTATTGACTTAGTTTTTATGAAGTTCCAAAAATAATTCATTTAAAACTTTTAAGAAAAGATCCAATACAACTATCACGCATAAATTGTCCAAAATTGGTTAAACTGCTTTAGGATGATGATACACTATACATAAGTTCTATTGAAAAAGAGTTGATAAAAAAAAGATTATCTTTAATAATGATGTTTTGTTTTTGTACTCTCTGTGAATATTAAATCTTCAATTTCTACACAAATGTGCATGTGATCATAAATTATGTTAATTATTTAATTTTTACCATTTTCTTCCAGTAATTACTTTTAAAATAAATATTATTAATGTACCAACAAATTCATATATATAATTTATATGAAGAATTATTTTATTAAGTGTTATTTTTACAATTTACACCCAATATATCCAATTATATCTATACAGCATTGGACAAATAAAATTTGTCAGCAAACAATGTTCTCCCAAAATCATCATGTGTAATAGAGAGATTTCGTTTCATTTTCAGCGCGTATTCTTTGAATCAAAGTTCATTATTCGACCCAGGCTGATGTTTACAAAAAAATGATAGTGCTCCTGCTAGGACTGCGTATGTAATACATTTCCCAAAAACACTCTGGATCATGTCCATTGTTAGGACGCCACGGGTTAACATCTTACGGAATGCAACGACGGAAATGAAAAAAAAATATCACGTCCGTTCATGTTGTCTGGTTTGTAAATATTGTTTCAAAAAAATAGTATACGGTTTATTTGCAGATCGCAGATAGTAACAGTCATGTTGACTAAAATCTCATGAGTTCGATACAAATAATTCACTATTTTTTTGTTACCGATTCTGTTTTTAAGGTCATCGTTTTTAGGGTAAAGGTTTCTCTTTGCTTCTTGTGGATTGAAAGAATGGTTTTTGTCTACCATTATAATTTACTGTGAACTCGCCCTTTGTTATAGGTTCCCATCCCCATCCCGCCTGATGTTGCCAAGTAACGCCTAGTATTAATAATGATTTTCCCATTCTTATCCTGGAATGTCTAGTGTAAGTCTCATTTCTTGGTCATTACAATTGTTTCTTGAATTTTATAAATAATAAATTTTTTGTCATTGTATTGTGATTCCTCTTTTTACCTTTTTATAGGTTGATTATTTCTCAATTAGTAAAAAATTTAATTATATTAAGGCCATTCCAAATTAATTTTAGTTTAACGTCCTCCCCCCCCTCTATTTTTTGAAAATTTAAAATAATTTAAACACATATGTTCACATATGTTTAAAGCACCCCCTCCCTTTTCTGAAATTGGGTGTACCGAATATTTCCGATTTTACCAAAAACTTCTGAAAATTTTATTATGTTTAAATATCATGTTTGTTTAAATTATTCCCTCCCCCCAAATTTTTTAGCCAGTGGCCTAATTGTTAAAATCAATGATTTTTGGCAAGGTTAATTGAATTAGTATTCACAGTTTTTTAATTATCTATTGACCTAAAGAAAAATATGTAATCTTTCACAATAAAACATCATTATTGAAGACCTTGAAATTATGTAATTATTCTCTTTTTATTCTCTTTTTATTCTCTTTTTGTTACTTAAGTATTACAGTAGTATTTACACTTAGTGTATTTGTATTTGTTATCATATTTGATTTTAAGGATATAAAGTATATATATATACTTAATCAAGGAGAGACCTTATTATTAAAAAAACAAAATACTTTTACTTTTATTCTATGATAATAAATCCCTACTTTTGCAATTCTTTGTTTGAGTATCAAATGATACAATAGCCCTATAAAAAAAAATAACCTTAAACATCATTTAAAATTTACATATATTAACTTTTATTCAATACTTATACATATGAGGAATGGAAGTCTTATTTTGAAAATAAATAAGACAAATGAATCAGAAATTTCGCTCATATTTCATAGAAGATGTAATTATCTCATTAAGTATCAATATCTTACTATTCTGAAAATATTGATTTGCGATGATGTTACACGTTTTTAAATAATGGAAGAATGTATACAGTTTATCCAATTACAAACTGGTTTATTTATGTAAAATAAAAAAAATTTACATAATATATATGCAGTGTTGGACAAAAACTATGTACTCAATTGCAAATTTCCTATAAAATAGCAGTTATAAAATATCAAATCAGGAGGATAATTTAAATTAATGATAAGAAAAAAATTTGTACTATAATATTATATAACTTGGCTGGTTAGATTACACAATCTAAACATTCAGAATTAAGATCTTTTGTAAAAGGGTTAAGTAAACGAGATGTATAAATAGCCTGTGAATGAATAGCTGCTTGGTAATTTTTAATAGATGAAATACTTGCTTTTCTATATTCTTCTGCTTTTTTGAATTGCATTTCAATTTCTTCATTCTCCACAATGTAGAAATCCACTCCAGATGACTTATAAAATGATGTGATTAAATTATTTACTTCAAAAATATTTGGTCTATTGTTTGGGTCTGAATCCCAACACTTTTTCATTAAATTAATATAACATCTTGGTGCTTCTGGTTCATATATTTCAGGTCTAACTCCTTTACAAATATCTAATGCTAGATGATGGTCATGTGCACAATTGTGAAAAGGTTGTTGTCCAGTTGCTACAAAATACATTATCATTCCAAAGCTATAGATATCTGCCGCTTGAGTATAAAGCTTTCCTTTTAATACTTCAGGAGCCACGTAAGGCATAACTCCATAAATATTCATTTCATCTTTATTACCAACTTCTCTATATAATCCTATGTCTGAAATTGATATATAATTCATATTGAAATCTATTATATCACTTAAAAATAATATATTTCCTGTGTGAAAATCATGATGAACCATATTTTTCTGATGAATTTCTTTAAGACCACAAATAATGTTATCCAATACAGATAATTTTGCTTGCCAATCAAAATATTCATAATTTTTATTTATCCAATTATTAAGATTTCCTTTTTTAGCATATTTGAGAACTATAATATATTCTTTTGTGTCAGGATTTTGAGATATTCCATAAATATTAAGAATATTACTTCTTTTGTTTATTGAAAACTTTTTGATCTATTAAAATATTTAAATAAAAAAAAATAATTTAAATATATTATTATTACTTTTGTATAAAAATAAAATTTTCTATTAAAATGATTTTTAAAAATTACATACCTTATTTAAGAATTCATTGCTAATATTTTGTGAATTATGTAAACATTTTAGGGCAATTACTATATTTGGATTCCTTTCATGTATTTCTTTAACTTTATCATATTCTAATAGACCATCTTTCCATTTTGCTGAATATACTGTAGTAAATCCACCTTTACCTATTTCCTTAATATTATTAAACTGATTGTATGGTATCCATTCAAATATTATATCATTATAGTCATTTATTTTTAATTGCATTTCTTGAATAAAATCATCAACTATTTCATTTCCACTCAAACAATTTACTAAGTTCATTAAATTATTTTGAACCAAAATATAATCATTCGTATTTGGATTTTGAGATATTCCATACAATATAGGGGATGGCCATATTTTGTTGAATATTTTTTAGCCTAATAAATAATAGAAAAATTAACACATTTATATATATTATTAAAAGGTAGTACAAATATTTATAAGAAATTTTATACCTCATTTATTAGGAAATCAATAGAATTTTCTGAATTATGTAAACATTTTAAAGCAACTACTTGTCTATATGCATCTCTATAATAATTTCGATGATAATATTCATGGTATTTTAGTTTTAGTGGACCGTCATACCATACTGCTGAGTATACTGTCGTAAGGTTATTTTTGCTTGCTTCTTTAATATAATCAAATTTATCATATGGTATCCATTCAAATACTACATCCTCATCGGTATTTATTTTTAATTGCATTTCTTGAACGAAATCATCTATTTTTTTATTTCCACTTACCCAAGTAAAATTTTCTTGAACCAAAATATAATCATTTGTATCTGGATCTTGAGATATCCCATATATTTTAAGAAACTCTTTGCAAAATTTGCTTGTTGAATATTTTTTTACCTAAGTTATAATGATATAAATAAGTATATTTTATAAAAAAAGAATGACAATTAAAATTTTATACCTCATTTATTAGAGAATCGATGAGACCTTGTGAACCATGTAAAAGTTTTAAAGCAACTTCAAATGTATGGTATCTTGAATATTTACTATAATAATTATTATTATAATTTAATGGACCATCTTTCCATACTGCTGAATATATTGTAATGGAATTATTTTTCAAAATTAACTTAATTTTATCAAATAGATTGTAGGGTATCCATTCAAATACTATATCATCATTTTTCTCATTGAGTTTTAATTGCAATTCCCGAATGAAGTCATCAATTTTTTCATTTCCACTTGCCCATGCCAGAACTAAAATATAATTGTTTGTATTTGGATCTTGAGATATTCCATATATATTACAAATTTTTCTGTCAAATATATTTATTAAATATTTTTTAGCCTAAATATAAAACAAAGTGATGAATATACTTTATTAGTAGTATTAAAAATATTTTTATAAAAATATTATACCTCACTTATTAGAAAGTCAACAGAATTTTGAGATTTATGTAAACATTTTAAAGCAACTTTTCTATATGAAAATCTTGTATATTCATAATGACCCCAACCACTGTTGAAATCTAATGGACCATTTTTCCATATTGCAGAATATATTGTTATATGGCCATTTTTGCTTGTCTCTTTAATTTCATTAAACTGATTGTATGGTATCCATTCAAATACTATATAATTATTGTTGATTTTTAATTGCATGTCCTGAATGAAGTCATCAATTTTTTCATTACCACTTGTCCATGCCAGAACTAAAATAAAATTATTTGTTTTTGGATTTTGAGATATTCCATGTATACCACAAATTCCTCTGTTAAACATATTAAGCATATTTGTTTTTGTTAAATATTTTTCAGCCTAAATATAAACAAAGTAATAAATATATTTATTATATTAGTAGTGTTAAGAATATTTATAAAAATGGTATACCTTATTTATTAGAAAGTCAACAGAGTTATAGCATTTTAAAGCAACTTTATTATTCATTGAATCTCTTATGAAATTTTTATGGCTATAATCATAATGTAATGGACCATTCTTCCATATTGCTGAATATAATGTTATAGAACTATTTTTGACTATTTCTTTAATTTCATCAAGTTGATTGTATGGTATCCATTCAAATATAATATCATTATAGGCATTCATTTTTAATTGCATTTCTTGAATGAAATCATCAATTTTTTTATTTTTACTGATATGATCTGCCATGATTATAGAATTATTTTGAACTAAAATATAATCTCCTGTATCAGGATTTTGAGATATTCCATATAATGCTTGAAATGTTTCATATTTTGTTGGATATTTTTTAGCCTATATATAAATAAAAGAAATTGTAAATACATTGATTAATGTATTTAAATATTTGAAGAAATTTCATACCTCATTTATTAAAGAATCAATGGATTCTTGTTTATGTAAACACTTTAAAACAACCTCTTTATTTGAATCTCTTGTATCTCTTATAAAACTATTTTGTTGTATTGGACTATCTATCCATATTGCTAAATATACTGTTATGAGGCCATTTTTGCCTTTCTCTTTAATTTCGTTAAACTGATTGTATGGTATCCATTCAAGCACTATATCACCAAAGTTATTAATTTTTAATTGCCTTTCTTGAATAAAATTGTCAATTTTTTCATTTTCACTAAACCATATATAATTATTTTGAACTAAAATATAATCTCCTGTATCTGGATTTTGGGATATTCCGTACAATGCCAGGCATTCATGTTTTGGATATTTTTTAGTCTAAATATAAATAAAAGAAATTGTAAATATATTAATTAAAAAAAAAGTATTTAAACATTTAAAGAAATTTCATACCTCATTTATTAAGGAATCAATGGATCCTTGTGAGTTATGTAAGCAGTTTAAAACAACTTTTTTATTTGATTCTCTTGCATAATTTCTAGTATAATTGTTAATATCCCAATACTTCTTGTGTAATGGGCCATCCCTCCATATTGCTGAATATACTGTTTTAAGATCATTTTTTTCTGTTTCTTTGATCCCACTGAACTGATTATATGGTACCCATTGAAATACTACTTCATATTTGTCATCTTTGTTATTGATTTTTAATTGCATTTCCTGGACAAAATTATCAACTTTTTCATTTCCACTGGTCCAACATATTAAATTTTTTTCTAAATATTCTTGAATGTTAGATATCTCAAAAGAAATTTTTTTGGAAAGCATTATTATATAAACGCTTAAAAAATTCATTGATATTGAAGTATTGCGGTTATATTTATATGTAATTCACAAGTGAGATTTGGACACAAGAATTCCAAAAAAGATAAGCTTATGTAAGTATTACATAAGCTTACGAAATGGTTGAAATCGATGTCAATCATGTAGCTAGTGCTTCGACCCGGATGAAAACCGTCATCCGGATTACACAAAAAAATAATCCGGATTATATCCGGATTGACCCGGATTTTGAATCCGGATCAGATAATCCGGATAGAAACCGGAAACCGGATTGGATTTACAAATGGTCGGCAATAATTCTGGTCAGAATTCATAACGCCGGCCAGAATTACAAATTGTGTAACATTAAATTTTCATGCCAGCCGATAAAAAATTTTTTGCCCGGTGGCTAAACTATTTTTCCGGTGTCACGTGATGTTAATTTCGGCCAGAATTACAAATTTGGCCAAAATTATCCAAGAC